TGCGGGCCCCAGCCGGGTCGAGAAGAAACCCGGAGCGGGGCGGTAGTTACGGCCGCGTGCGGCTTCTGGCCCACGTCCGCCTCCCAGGCCGACCCTTCCATGAGGGACAGGGCGCATCCACGCCTTCCTGCCGCCGGCCCCCGCCGGACACCTGGCAGGTGCTGGTTCATTTCCCCTGCGCAGGTAAGGCCCAGAGCACGTGTTTTGGCCTAGGCGCGTGGGGGAGCGCCGATCCGAACCCTCCCCCATTGGGGGTCTGGGGTCCCTGCTGCTGGACAGCACTGTGACAGCAAGCCTCTGTGTGGGGAAGCAAAATGCTAATGAGAGCTCCCTGCCCACGCATCCCAGTTCTGAGGTCAGAGGCTTCCAGGGGCTGTCAGTCTAGCACCTTCACTATAAAAATTAAATTAAAAAAAAAAAAAACAAAAAAAACACCCAAACACGGAAAGGCTGTAAGGAGCAGCAGTGAAACCCCCTCTGCCCCCATTTAATTTGAAGTGGTGTGTATGTGTCTGTGTCTCGGTGTGTTTGGGCAAGATAGGCTGCCAGAGGCCTGATGACTATATTATTGATTCAAAATACATGTTTGAGTTCAAGGAAGGAAGCTGAATAAGCGTGTACACACACACACACACACACACACACACACACACACACACACCAGCAGCAGTTCTGCTGTTTCCCATTGGATTAAACACAATCTTCTTAGTCATTAACATATTATTTTGCTCGAGCACTGCTGTACAATTTGATTCTCTACATTCAAAATATTTCCAGATCATAGCAACCAAAGGTTCACATTTTTCTCGTTTTATAGCACAGCGTCTTAGAGCTGGAAGGAGCTTTAGAAACTAGTCCAACCCCCTCATTTTACAGATGAGGAAATGGAGGCCTGGCCACGTGGCTTTCCTGGAGCAGCGGTCACAGAGAGGCAGTGCAGGGGGAATGCTGGCTTCTCCATACCCTGTATCATAGCCACCCTGGCCCTTTGTCCTTCCCCTGTGAAATGGTAGGTAATTAGGGACCTGGTTTTAACACCTCTCTCCCTTGGGGGATTTGAAGAGGTTGTTTACCATTTCTAGGCCTTCCTTTGATGGCTGGAAGAATGAAGTTTGTTTTTTTTTTTTTTTCAAATATCTGCAAATTTTGTGACAGTAGTCACCTTTGGCAGCCTTTGACAGTTTAAGATTGGGCAGGCTGATGAGCAGTAAGATACCTGTGACCTATCCTATGCCACAGTTGGGAATTAGAAGGCTTCAATCCAAGTAATAGTTTCCTCTTGAGTTGAGACAAATTACATGTTTAGAGAGGAGAGCATTTAACTTCTGTCCTAAAGACTTGAGGCCCTACAAGATGCCAGAGCCTGTGCCCTGAGGACACAGAGGAGCTCAGGGCAGTAAGGGGAACAGACACACCAGAGGAGGATAACGTAAGTAAGTATAATGGAAGTGCTTTGATCAACACAGTCAGAAATGCTTTGGGAACAAATTGGTTGGACAAATATTTGTTCAATGTCTACTATGTACCTAGCATGCATTTTGTGCTCAACACATATGAATATTTCTTTATTTTTTTATTGCCAGAGGGTGGTGTATTCACCAGAGAAAGAGAGAGAATCCCCTAATGCAACATGGTCACACCTTAATCCTTTCTCCATTTCTCCTTCCCATCAAGACTTTAGGCATGCACACCCACATGCCTGGTGTACTTTTCTAAACCACTGTGCAGGGATTTGAACCTTAGTTGGCCATGTGGGATACAGCTCTACAGGGATAGCCCCATAAAATTTTTTTTCTTTCTTTCTTTCTTTATTTTTTATTATTATTCATACATTAAATCGCTATACATCATTTAGATTGTGAAGAGAAATATATCTTTTTTTAAAGAGATTTTTTTGCTATAGGGTGTGTGTGCTCACTGGAAACACTGAGAGACAGAGACAGAGACAGAGACAGAGAGAAAGTGAGAAATCATTCCCCGGGTGGGATGGCCACGTTGCAACCCCTTCTCCTCTATTCTACTCTCAGGATTTTGGTCACGCACATACATGCGCCCAGAGTGAGTTATAAGCCACCAGGTTTGGGACTCAAACTGCAATAGGCCAGGTAGGAGTCCAGTGCCTTAACCACTACGCCACCTGCTGGCCTTTTACAAATACATCTTTAAGAATGAATTAAGGCCAAGAGAAAGGATCGTGAAGAGAGTCGTAAGGACTATGAAGGAGGAAGCAATTAATCTGCCCAGTGCAATGTGGATAAGAAGGACTTTACTCAGGGGGAGAGATTTTAAAGGGAGTTTAAAAGAATAAGAATTCAAAGTGGGGAGTCCAGTTGAGGACAGTCCAGGTGGAGGTCCAGGTGGAGGGAGTTGAGATTATGCTTGGCATTAGGCAAAGAAGGTTCAATTCAAGACATTTAACCTTTCCGGCCTTAGCGTCTTCATCTGATAAATGGGATAATAATGCCAACCTCACCTGACCTCCCAGATTGTTGTAGGGATTAAAAGATCTCACATACCTGATTTAATGAGTATTTCTGTCTGACTGGTAGAAAGTGGTTTACACCTCTAAAAGTGCCTCTAAAAGTTGACCATGCATATTAATCACCTGAAAAGGGTCTCCTGAAAAATATAGATTCCAGGGCCAGCAGATGGCTTGGTGGTTACATCACGGGATTCTCACATGGCCAACCATCATCTGAGTCCCAGACTTAGTGACTTGAAAAGTATGCTGGGTGTGTGTGCATGCGTGCCCAAGATTCCGGGAGCAGAATGAAGGAGAAGGGATTGTGGCATGGCTATCCCCCTGGGGGGTGATTTCTCACTTTCCCTCTCACTGATACTGACTGTCTCTCTCTCTCCCTCTCTCTCTCTGAAGAGCACATGTACTCTAAAGCAGAAACCTCTAAAAAATAATAAAATAAACAAAGTAGACTCCAATTTAGTGGGTTTAGGGTGAGGCCTGAGATTCTGAGGTTCTAACAAGCTCCCAGGCAACACTGGAGTACTGGCTCTCAGCCTGAACTTTGCATGACAAGGGTTTCAGAGACCAGTCAATAAGAGTGTACACTTCTGTGACAGAGAATCCTAGAATGGGTTCAAGCTGTCCAGGTATTAGCTGTGTGTTACCAGAAAAGCTATTCTCCTTGCTGGGCCTTGAGTTCATCTTCAGTGACATACAGGCAGTAAGAAGTCCTGTCTCTATGGGGTTGTTCAAGAAGGGAGGGTGGGCCCTGTGGCCTAGTGGTTAAGGGAGCCGATCCCACAGGGCCAACTATGTGATTTGAGTTCTGGACCTAGCAGCTTGCAAAACACTCCAGGTGTGTATGCATGCATGCCCCAAATACTGACAGGGTGGAGAGATGGAGGAGAAGGGATTGTGGCATGACCACATGCCATTTCTCGTTCTCTCTTTCTCTGGCAAGAGAAATTTGCATGGCAAATTAAAGATAAAGGAGGCAGGGGACCAGCAGGTAGTGTGGTGGTTAAGGCGCTGGACACTCCCAGATGGCTGACCAGGGTTCGAGTCCTGATTCTGTGGCTTCCTTTCTCACTTCCTCTCTTTCTCACTGTTACCCTCTGTCTCTCTCTGGTCAAACTAAAAAAATAAATGAATGAATAAATAAAATAAAATAAATAATTATTAAAAAGAAATAAAGGAAGCAAATGGATGGATAAACCCCTCTGAGCAGAATGTTTGGCATAGAGAGTGGCCATTAAATGATAGCTAGTGTTAACGAGTGGGGAGAAGGGACTGGAAAGAAAGAGGAGTTGGGGCCAAATGGTAACGATTTCAGATTTTATTCTGTAGCTAAAGGGGAGCTACTAAAGATTAAGAGATTCATGATTATTAAAAATAGCATTTGCTATGTGATGAGCTCTGTGCTAAATATTGTATGTATACTTTAAATGAATATGTAATCCTTTGGAAAAATTATTATGATCGCTATTTTACAGGTGAGAAAATTGAAGCACAGA